GAAATACACTCCTGCATACTAGCTGATCATAATGTAACAAAACAAGAACTGAACAACAAAAGAAATAGTAGAAAATACTCAAACACCTAGAGACTGAGCAACACATTGCTCCACGATCAGTGGGTATTGCAAGAAATGAGGAAAAATAAAAAACTTTCTGGAATTTAATGAGAATGAAAGCACAACTTATCAAAACCTCTGGGACAAATCAAAGGTATCCTAAGGTGAAAGTTTATAACCATGAGTGTATGTGCTAAAAACATAGAAAGATCTCAAAAATGTGACCTAATGCTGCACTTCAAACTCCAAGGAAAATAAGAACAAGCTAAACCCAAAACTAGCAGAAGGAAAGAAATAATAAAAATAAGGGCTAAATTCAACGAAATAGAGACCAAAAAATACCATAGAAAGAATAAGCTGGTTCTTTGAAAATATAAGATTGACAAGCCCCCGGCAAATGAGTAAAATGGGAAGGGAAAAGATCCAAATGAATAAAATTAGCAATGAAAAGGGAGAGATCACAACAAACCCCAAAGAAATCCATGGAATCATTAGTGACTACTTTGAAAATCTCTATTTGAAATACATTGGAAAATATAGAAGAAATGAACAAATTTATAGACACATATGACCATCCAAACTCGAACCAAGTGGATATAAATCACCTAAATATATCTATAACAAGCAATGAAATTTAAGCACTAAAGAGTCTTCCCCCAAAAAATCCATTACCTGACAGATTCACTGCTGAATTCTACCAGACATTTAAAGAAAAACTAACACAAACACTCCTCAATCTTTTCTATAAAGTTTAAAGGGAAGAAACATGGTCAAACTCATTCTATAAGGCCAGTATAACACTCATCCCAAAACTGGACAATGACAGAACAACAAATAAAGAATTATTGGCCAATCTTTAATGAACTTAGATATCAAAATCATCAGTAAAACATTGGCAAAAATAAGTTTGACAGCATATCAAAAAGATCATACACCATGATCAAGTTGGTCTCATCCTAGGGATTCAGGGATCACTTTATATATGAAAATCATTAAATGTAACACAGAATATTAACAGAAGCAAAGACAAAAACCACATGAGCTTCTCAATAGATACAGAAAAAGTCTTAAACAAAATGCAACATCCTTCCATGTTAAAAGCTCTGATGAACCTAGTAATAGAAGTAATGTACCTCAATATAATAAAGGTTATATATGACAAACCTGTAGCTAACATCATACTAAATGGGAAGAAACTGAAACAATTTCCTCTAAAGTCATGAATGAGATATGGTGTCCACTCTATCCATTCTTATTCAGTATAGTATTAGATTTCCTAGCCAGAGCAGCAAGACATGAAGCAGAAATAACAGAATACAAATTAGAAAGGAAGATGTTAAAGTATCTTTATTTTTAGATGACATATTCTTATACTTAAAAGACCCAAAAAATTCCACCAAAAACTCCTAGATATCATAAACACCTTCAGCAATGTAGCAGGATACAAAATTAATTTATAGAATCAGTAGCCTTTCTATATACCAACAAAGAGGAGACTGAAAGAATATAGGAAAACAATTCTATTTATAATATCCTCAAAAAACCCTAAGGATAAACTTCTTAAAGTAAGTGAAAGACTTCTGCAATGAAAATTATAAACCACTGAAGAAAGAAATTGAAGAAGACATCACAAGATGGAAATATATCCTATGCTCATAGGCTGGCCAAAGCAATATTGTGAAAATGGCTATATTACCAAAAGCAATCTACATGGTCAATAAAATCCCCATCAAAATTCCAATGACAACCATAATGGAGATTGAAAAAGTAACTCTAAAGCTCAGTTAGAAGGACAAAAGACTGTAAATAGCCAAGGCAATATTGAGCAAAAAGATCAACACTGGTACAAAAACAGACATGAAGAACAGTGGAATTGAAGACCCAGATATGAATCCACACAGCTACACCCACCTGCTTTTTGACAAAATATATTTCATCACATTTGCTCTCCTTCACACTTTCCTCATGTCCTTCTCCCTCCCACTGGAACACATTCCTGGGCAGAACCTGTTTAACTTTATTGTCCTTCATAAAAAAATACTATTTATTTATTTTATTATTCATTTATTCACATGTGCTTACATTGTTTGGTTCATTTCTCCCCCTTGCCCCTTGCCACCACCCACACTTTTATTAGTATATGATAGTTATACAGGGAGTTACATTGTGACATTTTCATATACACATGTTTTATACTCTGAATTGTTTCATCCTCTCCATTATTCTCCCTTCAACACCATTCTGCTTCTTAATGAGACTTTAACAGCATTCAATGTTCCATTTACATACTTGTTTAGAAAGTACATCAACTATATTCACCACTTTATTCTCTTATTTTGCCCTCCTCCTCCCACTAGTGCTGTCCCCTTAATATGACATATTTTAAATTCCTGTGCTACATTGTTTAGGTGTCTGTTTATTTTTTGGTGGAGATTTTGCCTTGGTATTTATTTATTTTTCTTTTATTTTGTCAATTTTACGTTTACTTACATGTGTATACCATTGTTTTGGTCACATGTCCCCTACCCGCCCCCCCCAACCACTTCTGGGCAGAACCTGTTATGCCTACTTGTTTTCTGATTTTGTTGAAGAGAAAACATAAAAGATAATAAGAAAGACAGTGTTTTTGCTAGTTTGAAATAAAGACAGCTATTTAGAGAGATTCCAGCATTGCTTCCATGCACTGTGTATTTGCAACGCACATTGTTTCATCTCTGCCAGACCTCTTCACTACTTCCTAGTCCCCTTCCCCTAGTGGCCTCTGTCAGTTTAAGAGTACTTTATTTGCTCCTCTACAGTGAGCACATCAACCACATTCAAGTTTTAAGTTTCCTTCCCTTTCTCTATTCCTCCCATGCATGTTCTCCTCTTAATGTGTGACTCATATCCAATAATATTACTGTATTTGTTTTAGAGCTACAATCAGCATATGAGGGAGAACATGAGATTTTTGGCTTTCTGTGCCTGGCTAACTTCGCTTAAGATGATGTTCTCCAGTTCTGTCCATTTACATGCAGATGACAAAGTTTCATTCTTCTTTGTTTGCCTTGGTATTTAAATGGTAAGGATATTGCACTTTAATCAGTTCAACCCCTACACTACTCTTCGTCACCTTTATCCTCCTACCCTCCATTGTTTAACAGTTTTCAGTGCGTTTTTGTTGGGTCTTGTTCCTACACAGATGTAATATATTTCATCATGCTTCACTCCCTATAATTCTTTCCTTCTTTTCTTCCTTTGGTCCTCTCTAACAGTTCCAATTTGGAAACATGTTCTATATGTATTTGTATGTATATATGATAATGCTTGTATTTGTACTGGATCTATCTTCCACATGTGAGAGAAAACATGTGACTTTTGTCTTTATGTATCTGGTTAACTTCACTTAAGGTGATATTCTCCAGTTCCATCCATTTGCCTGCAAATGACAAAACTTCATTCTTAATGGATGAATAAAATTCCATTGTATATAAATTCCACATTTTCTTTCTTTATTGTTGTGCCACAGGTACACTGTGGCATTTTCAAAAGTTGTTACAATATATCATACTTGAATTCTCCCCCTCCATCATTCTCCTTTATCCACCCTTCCACCTATTCCTGCAATAGTTTAACAGGTTGCATTCTTCCATTTACATATATGTGTACACAGAAATACCACATTTTCTTAATCCATTTATCAGCTGTAGGGAATCTTGGCTGTTTCCATAACTTGGCTATTATGAATAATGCTGCAATAAACATGGGTGTGCAGGAGTCTTTATTGTAACCTACTTTCATTCCTTTGAGTATATCCCTAGGAGTGGCATTGCTAAATCATATGGATGTTCAATTTCTAGTTTTTTTGTGGAGTGGTTGTACTAATTTACATTCTCACCAACAGTGTACGAGGGTTCCTTTTTCCTTGAAACTTCAACAACATTTGCTGTTGTTTGTGTTCCCAATGACAGCCATTCTAACATATGAGGTGAAATATTAATGTGGGTTTGATTTGCATTTCCTGCATGGCAAGGAATGTTGAGCAATTCTTTATGTGATTCTTGGTCATTTATATTTCTTCCTTTAAAATTTTATGTTCAATTCATTTGTCCATTTCTTCACTGGGTCATTTATTCCTTGGGAGTTTAGTTTTTTTGATTTCCCTACAAATTTTGATTATTAATCCCTTCCCAGATACAAGTATAGCTGGCAAAGAATTTCTCCTATTCTGTGGTTGTTTCTTCAATCTGGAGACTGTTTCCTTTGCTGTGCAGGAGCATTTTAGTTTCATGTGACCTTATTTTTTATCCTTTCTCTAGTTGCTGAGCTATTAATGTTCTATTTACAAAGTTTTATCTATGCCCATACATTCTACTGACTTCCCTACTTTTTTTCTGTATTAGTTTCAAGTTTCAGGCCTTGTGTGAAGGTAATTGATCCATATAGAATTGATATTGGACAAGGATATACTTTCAGTTTTCTACTTGTAGATATACAGTTTTCCCAGCAACATTTATTGCAGAAGCTTTCTTTTCTCCATCATAAGTTTTGGGCACCTTTGACAAAAAATATAAGAATCTTTAAAAAAAGAATTAAAAATACAAATCAGTGATCAGCATTGTGAAATTCCCTATGAATAGAGGAAATTTCTAAAAGTTTGGGCATTGATTTCCTCCTCATCTTGTACTTCCACTAATATTAAGAAGCCCATAGAGACAGGGATAACACAGAATAATTTGCCTAACATGATCTCTGTGCATTTGGTCCCCATAGTTATAATTAGCCTGTATCTCCAGAGGTTCAGTCTGAAGTTTCCATTCCAGTGGACTACATAGCAGTGTTTGCTCCTCCCATGGTTGTTTGCATCAGGAAGCTCCCATCTCACACTGTATTCATATCAACTGTAAGCAAGGATTGGGGAATGAGACTAGTGAGATGCTTTGGATTCCCAACCTGTGGTCATGAGCCAGGAGGGAAGAAATTTAAACCAGTAAGTGCTGAGGTATATGTTGGAAGGTGAAAACACCATTTCTGATGGAACACTTGTCTCATTGGGTAGCCAGATGGTAACTTATGACATGTGTACTTACTGCTGAGATGTGTGTGTTAATTATGTTTTTGGTTGCTGAGGGTCCAAGATAATTCATTCAAAGCTTTGCTTTCCTCTCCACATGAATTTTATTACCCATAATCTTCTTACCCATGAAAGCATAAAATGGGTCCCTCAAAACTGTTTCCTAGACATTACTGAATTATTATGAAGGTGAGGAGGCAGAGGAAGAGAAGGATGACATGAACCATAACACAATGAACCATTATTGAAGAATTCCTGAGTGCCAGCCTCTGCACTGTGTGTTCTACAATGTTTGATAACATTCTTCTGATTAGCTATCACTTAAGTCATAAGTGCTCACTTCAGTTTCCAGAAAACAAATGAGTACAGAATTTGAAACATAAATGCCTTAAGTGGAGACTTAAAGTTAGATTTACATTGCATTCCTGTTTAGGAAATTGGGTATACTTCAATAAAAATTACCTCAAAAGAAGAGAGTGAAGCATGCTTGAAGTAGACTGTCTGTTTATGAATATAGGATATTTTGTCAGAAGAATCCTGCTATGGTGCTCAATTAACAACTCAACATCCATTTCTCTTTCTTCTCAATAGAAAGAGATACTTTGTTTGCAGGGCTCTTCCCATTGTGGGTTCCTGTTAGATTACAGGGAAGACCAGTGGGTGGCACCAACTATGGGTAGGAGAGTCAACTGTGGGTAGGAGAGTCAATGATCACAGGCAAAGGTCACAGAAAGTGTAGGCACACAGTAAGTCAACACAGAGATCCATTGTCCTCCTTCATTACAGGGTGCCCTTGAAGCTGAACACATCTTCATCTATCTTTTAATTAGGTTGCTTATTTTCCAGAAGAGACAAAGTCAGGTATTCATTGCATTCCTACTTAGAAAAGTGGATATCATTTTAAAACATACCTCTGATGGACCTATGGTAAAGACCTCTGGGTCTTTGCAGCAGTAAAAATTAAGGTGCATTTGATACTGTATGGCACAGTGTAATTTTTTCGCAGTGCATAACATAATACATGACTTCATGGAACATTTTTATATAATACTGATAAGTTTATATCTTATACATAGTAATTTTGATAAATTCTATTCTGGGCAATTCTCCTTAAAATAGAGGGAGGAACTTTTATTTTCAAAAACTATCTAATGGTTTGGAAAATGAAAAGATTTGGTGCTTCAGACTCAGAAACAATTTAATGTTGAACTTAGTCTCATTTATTACTTCTGTGAAACACAGAATGTTGTATTAACTCTGTAACTCAGCACATGAGAGTAGTTGATTTCCAGTTGATACAACTGCATTTTGCATAGGAACATCCATAAGTGAACCCTATGTGATTGATACAAGATGTATGTGAAAATGTAAGAGTAAAATTGATATATTATCATCATTACTGATAATGAGGATGATTGTGGGGCAGATCTTCACATCTCTCCATGAAAATGTTCTGTTACCCAAAGGTATAGTTTTTGTACTTCTTATTACTGAGACATACTTGAGACATTCACAACTTTCCATGTTCATGGAACATCATGAGATGTTCACAACTTTCCATGTTTGTTTCCAACAAACAGCCATATGGAACATGCTGTTTCTATAATGACGGGATTCTCTGTACAACAAACACAGAATTGTAGTATTTTACCAATTTCTAAACTGTGTTTAGGCACCAAATATACTGTGGACATGGGGAAGAGGTGCAGAGATTACACAAATTTTTCATATAATAGGTCAAAGACTTGGGATTAAAGATTCACTCCCTAACTACATCCCAGGTCTCCTCTGCATGAGCAAAGTACAAATATTTTTCCAATGCAAATGAAAATTTCTGGGTGAGTTATGATGAAAGCAGTATTACTAAAGGGACTGCAGAGAGACTTTAATGTTATATAGTTAGAATAGCATGTATAAGTGATAATAACTGATATTTTATGTGACAGCATATGGAAGTGTAGAACTGAGCACGTACCAATGTGAGGAATCAGAGAACTATTTTAAATCTTCATATTATATAGAAATTATCACTCTGTGATTTAGAAAGAGGCATAAGAATTTTGAAAGACTATTAAAATAGTAAACTCAGACATTCAATGGTTTCCTTCCCTTGAGCTATGCTGGGCTTCAGCTAAAGCCTTTGAAGTAGCTGCATGCATGTCACAGAGAGACTTTAGCCACTCCCCAATGTAATCTAAGCTATTTCAGGGGAAATGGGTGCTGTGCTGTATACTACTTAGATGAGGTTTTGGTTCTTCTTACTTTATTAAAGAAAATCTTACATGTGCACAAATCAATGCTGGCATGATGACATTGACAGGAAAATGTATTCACCAAATTCCTATAGGATTTGTTTTTCCAGGAGACTAGACTAGTACAGAGATAACTAAGAGTTCAAATTTTGTATCAATTCAATCAATATCAATAGTAGTTTTGAGGGAAGCAATAATATCCTACTTTTTAAATATTGAAAGTGAATATTGTTGATAGTAACAATATTTGTTATTAATAGAACATTGCTAAATGCCAGGAATTTTTCTATAGCAGGGGTTATCATCCCTGTAAGTAGGATGCAGCATGAAAAACTTCACATACAGATATTTTGGTTAAACTTGTTTTGGTGACTGCAGAGAATCTGGATATTTTATGAATATTCAAAGATGAATTATAGATAGATGATACTGAGAAATACTAGCTTATACAAGCTAATAAATCCTTGTAGACTAGGTGAAATGGCTCATTCCTGAAATCACAGCTACTCAGGAAGCATCAATTACAGGATAGTAATTCATGGTAAGCCCGAGCAAAAAAGTCCCCATATCAATCAAGAAACAGGGCATGGGGCCATCTTACACAATGGGTTCATAGTCTGAGGCTGGCCTCTGGTGAAAGCTTTAGACCTACCTGAAAAATAAGTAAAGCCAAGTGATAGAACTCCTGCCTCGTGGCCAAACCCAGTTACCAGTAAAGAAAAGATTTTTAAAAATAATTCTATGTATTACTTAATTATTAATCCTATTTTACTGATGAGGAAACTGCCACTGGGTATTTACAATTTTTCCACTCATTTTGTCATTTGTATTTTCCACACTAAATTACAATGTGAATGGATAAAAATTGAATCAGATTTCTTTCCTGTAATAGAAAGAGATGAAATTCACGTAATAGGAAGTAGTTATGAGAAAACATAAGGATTAGTCATAAGAACATTGCAATTACATCCTGGGCTTTGAAACTTTCTCTGGAGCTAGAATACATCAATGTAATTCAGGAGGATTATCATCAGAAAAACAGGGAAATAGTATTAAAAGTCCACTTGAAAATACAGACCCAAGGGTGGGGAAAAACAAAAGAACTCAGTTACATGCCAAATATTTTAGTAAGACTACGGATTTAAAAATGTTCATTCAAAAGTATCTGTGAATATTACATTATTTTAATCACTAACAGGAACAGAGGACATTGACACCACATTTGTAATCACTGCCTGTGTGTATTTAAGTAATGTATCTGAAATTAGAGTTGATCACAGACAAATATTTCAACAAACGCACTTTATTTTCTCTTATAACTGGCATGAAAAACAATGAATGCTTCATACTAATTAGATTGCAAGTGATGTTTCGATATATGTATATATTTTTGTACATTTAAAATTTACAAATTTGTAAATATAAATATATATATTTAAAATAAGATAAATATATCCATTGCCTTAAATATCTAAATTTGTTAAATGATTTTTAAAAGGCACTGGATGAGTGAGCACTTTCATCTTCGAAGGAGGAAAATCAGAAACCAACGAGTGATGAAACCCTTAAGAGAACAGGAACATAATATTATTTTTGGCTCACATAATGCCATTAAGTATAGATAGAATGCTCATGAATAAACTAAGCTAAGGAAATTTTACATTTTTCTTAGGAAAAATAGGCTATATAGGACTAATGTCTTCCTCTCCTTTAAAGGCAATGATTTTTCATAGGGAAATTATATTTCTTCCCCATGAAATCTTCAGAGTATTGTGTATGTGGCTGTGATCATGGACTTGTTATCAAGAATATTTTTTGTTGTCTACCATTGTTCACCTGAGTGTCTCTAAAATAGGTGTGCACAGGAGGAAGCAGATGGCAACAATCACAGTAAAAGAGATCTAGATTTGGGGGTTTGCCATATCTGAGAAATATGGCTGAAGGGATGTGGTCTTCAAGTGAGAATTAGTTACTTTTTGTGACTTGGATTTAAAACATATAAAGAATTATGAGTTCACATTTCTGTCTCTTTTCTGATTAATTTTCTTTCAAAAAAGGTGTCCTAAAAATGGAGAAGCAAAAAATCTAACACAGATCTCAGAATTCCATCTCACGATGCTCTCAGATGATCCAGAAATGCAGCCCATCCTGTTTGGAGTGTTTCTGTCCATGTACCTGGTGACAGTGCTTGGGAACCTTCTCATCATCCTTGCCATCAGCTGTGACTTCCACCTCCACACCCCCATGTACTATTTCCTCTCCAACCTGTCCTTGGCAGACATCTGTTTCATCTCCACCACAGTCCCAAATATGATTATGAACATCCAGAGTCATACCAGAATCATTTCCTATGTGGGATGCCTGTCACAGATGTCTCTTTTTCTCATTTTTGGAAATACAGATGATATGCTTCTGACTGTGATGGCTTATGACCGGTTTGTGGCCATCTGTCACCCCCTGCATTACACTATTGTTATGAACCCTCGACACTGTAGATTTTTAGTTTGGGTGTCATTGTTAGTTAGCACTTTGGGCTGCCTGGTACACAATGCAATTGTGTTACGATTTAAATACTTCAAGAAGGTGGAAATTTCTAATTTTTATTGTGACCCTTCTCAACTCCTTAATCTTATTTGTTCTGACACCATCTCTACTAATGTGGTCCAGTATTTTCTTGCCACAATATATGGTTTTCTTCCCATCACAGGGATCCTATTTTCGTATTATAAAATTGTTTCTTCCATTCTGAGGATCCCATCAGGTGCAAAGTATAAAGCCTTCTCGACCTGTGGGTCTCACCTTTGTGTTGTTTGCTTATTTTATGGAACAGCCATTGGAGTGTACCTTGGGTCAGCTGTATCACATTCTCCTAGAAACAGTGAAGTGGCCTCACTGATGTACACTCTGATCACGCCTATGCTGAATCCCTTCATCTACAGTCTTAGGAACAGGGACATCAAAAGAGCCCTATTAAAACTCTAAAGCAGAATAATCTAATTTGATTAATTTTTCATTTTTGCAAGGTGATATTTTAGCCTCTTAACTTTATCATCCATATAAATCTCTCCCTTCTAGTTCGTTTGTTTATTCAAAGTCTGTTGGCATTAACTCCTCTAACCCTTTTGAAGTTTCATAGCTTGGTTTGGTGAACCAGTCATCTAGATCATTAAATCTTCCATTTTTGGTCACATTTTTCTGTCAACATGGCATTTACCCACTCTGAATAATAACTGAATATTGATTCCTATTGTCTGTCCTTCATTGCATTTTATGTGTCCTGAATTCACATAATTCTGGATATGAGTATTCCTTTTCATTATAAAAATCAGGTATAAATCAATACACCCAGATAACTTCTGTAATTTTGGAGCAATCACCCTGGCTTTCATGTGAGATATCTCCCTTTTCAAACATCCTGTATACCTTCTTTAAAAATTTCACATACTCCTGGGTGCTTACACCTACAATCCTCACTACTTGGGAGATGATGGTTCCAGACTAGCCCAAGCAAGAAAAGTTTGTCAGACCCCATCTCAATAAAAAAGAAAGCTGTACATTGTGGAACATCTGTCATCCTAGATAAGGCAGAAAGATTAAAAAGAATCGTGATCCAGGCCAGCCCAGACACAAAGTAATACAATATCTTCAAAATAACCAGAGCCAAAAGGCCTGGAGGCATGGCTCAAGCTGTAGAGCACTGGACTAGCAAGTGTGAAGCCTTGAGTTTAAACTCAAGTACTGCAAAAGAACTACCTAAGATAATAGGGTATGTTTTTTCTGGGGACCATATCAGTGGTCATAAAGTATGGCTTTTATTTGAATCACCTGGGGAGCTTGAAAATGCTGATAGCTGCATCTCCTTATCAGAGATTCCAATTTGGATGGAGCTGACTAACTGTGAGATTTTCAAAAATGCTTCTAAGGGGTTCATACACTGTTCCTATGTGGATCAAGCTTAAATGGGTATGATGGAAATAGGTCTATTGTTCAAGAAAGTGAGGTGGTTTTCTTCAAATTCCTTCAACACCATGCAACTTCTCCTTATGCTAAACTTTAAATGTCAGCATTCTGTCAGTCAACATTGACTGTGAACTGCACAGGACCATGTGAGACAGACAGAGGAATCCAACTCTCCCTGAGGTCCTGGGGCAGAGGTTTGGTACTGTTAAGCAGTGGTCATTGATGTTATGTACTATTAAATGTTGCTGAGAACATTAATTCTGTGTTCCGCTCTGCTCAATGCTTTATTGAAAGTATTCTGTAATGATTTTTCTGTGATTGAGTGAATCCACAGGTATTGGGGCTTTTTATTCCTTTGGATGGCAGTGGATAGACATTTACCATAGGCCTGGCAACATCTAGCAGGGACCAGGAAACTGAGCAACCTCCTCTCAGTCAAATGACCAGACTGTTGACCATGGCCTTCTGTGCTGTTGAACTCTTCTTGATCACTGTGAGAACACTACACTGGCTAAAAGGGAATCCTGGAGCCTCTGTTGGTGCTAAAGACAGAAGGCCTTGCTGCGGTTGTGGCCACTCCAGATAAGTTGCACTTGCAAGATAGAACTCTAGGCAAGAAAATCCCTTGCCTATGCTTATTGCTTCCAGTGTGTTCCCTGCTCTTTCCTGTAGTAGATTCAAGGTTTCATGTCTGATACTAACATCTTTAAATCCAGTTTAAGCTGATACTTGGACTGGACAAGAAACATGGATCTAGTTTCAAGTTTTCTGCAGGCAGATATCAGTTTTTCCAGCAACATATGTTGAAGAGGCCGTTTTTTTCTCCATCATATATTTTTGGCATGTTTGTCAAAAATTAAGTAGGTACAGTTGTGCAGATTCATGTCTGGGTCCTCTATTCTGTTCCACTTGTCTTCATATATGTTTTTGTTCTATTACCATGCTGTTTCTGTTGCTATGAATCTGTAGTATGGCTTGAAGTAAGGTATTGTGATACCTCCAGCATTGCTCTTTTTGGTCAGTATTGCCTTGGCTATTTGTGGTCTCTTGTGTTTCCAAATGAACTTTAGGGTTGAATTTTCAATCTCTGTGATGAATGTCATTGGAATTTTAATGGGAAGTGTGTTGAATATGTAGATTGCTTTTGATAGTAAAGCCATTTATACTATATTGAATATACTAATCCATGAGAATGGGAGATTTTTCCACTTTCTGTAGTCTTCTTTGATTTCTTTCCTCAATTATTTGTAGGTTTCCTTGTAGAGCTCATTCATATCTTTTGTTAAGTTTATTCCTAGGTGTTTGAGTTTTTGAGGCTATTGTTAATGGAATTGTTTTCCTATATGCTTTTTCAATCTGCTCATTGTTGGTGTATAGAAAGAATACAGATTTTTGTTCATTGATTTTGTATCCTGCTACTTTGCTGAAGCTGTTTATGGTATCTAGGAGTTTTCGCACGGAGTTTTTCTTTTGTTTTTTAGGCATAAGAACATGTCATCTGCAAATAGGGATAGTTTATATACTTTTTAATGTATTTTTGTTCTTTTTATTTCTTCTTCCTTCCTTATTTCTATGGCTAGGAATTCCAAGACTATGTCGAATAGGAATGGAAGAGAGGACAGTGGGTTTGCTTGTATTATTCCTCAGTAGAACTCCAGCAGATCAGCAACTAAGAGAAAGGATCAACAAATGGGAGTACATGAAGTTAAGCAGCTTCTATACAACAAAAAATGGTCTGTAAATTGAATAGGCCACTCATAGAATGGGTGAAAATCTTTGCTAGCTATATATCAGACAAGGGACTGATAACCAGAATACACAAGGAGCTTACAAAACTAAACTCTTAAAAAAGATCAATGAACCAATAAAGAAATGGACAGCAAAACCAGAGAGATCTTTTTAAAAGGAAGAAGTCTGAATGGCTTAAAATATACATGAGAAAAATGATCACCATCCCTGGTCATAAGGGATGTATAAATCAAAATTACACTAATATTCTACCTAGTCCTGTTAGGACAGTTACTATCAAGAACACCACCACCACCAAATGTTGGTGAGGAGGTTGTGAAAAAAGAACACTCATACTCTGCTGGTAGGAATGTAAACTAGTACAACCACTATGGAAAACAGTATGGAGGCACCTTAAAAAACTAAAAATAGATCTGCTATATGATCAAGAATGTCATTTCTGGAGATATTCCCAAAGGAATATAAGTCAGTTTACTACAAAGGCATCTGCCCACTTATGTTTATTGCAGCAATATTTTCAATAGCTAAGCTACAGAAACAGCCAAGATGCCAAAATTAATGGATGGATTTAGTAAATGTGGTATTTATACACAATGGAAATTTACTCAGCCACAATGAAGAATGAAATTTTGTCATTCCCAGGTAAATGGATGGAACTGTAGAATATAGTCTTAAGTGAAGTTAGTCATGCTCAAAAGAACAAAAGCTGTATGTTCTCCCTCATATGGAGATTATAAACTTAAAACTAATGCAGCAATATTATGTGACATGGGTCACACTAAAAGGAGGCCACGCACTGGGGGGATAGACAATGGAAGAAAACCAAAACCTTGAATCTGGTTGATGTGCTCATGGTACAGGAATGAATATAGAAATCTTAAACTTTCCAGGGCCACCATGGGAAGGGGACTAGGGAAGAGTGAAGGAGTGGCAGAGATAAACCAATTGGTGTTGTAATACATATATGTAAGGAATCAACAAAGGAAACTCCCTGTGTACCTCTTTAACCCAAACTAACAAATATGCATGTTTCTCTTTTATCTTTTTTCTTCTACAAAATCTTAGAATAGGAGAGAAGAACAGGTTCTGCCCTGGGAAGTGGGGTTTCAGCACTGGTGGGAGGGAGGAGGTGTCAGGGAAAGGGGTAGGAGGATGAATATGGTGTAATTAATGTATACATTTGTATGTTAATGCAAAAGTGATACCTGTTGAAACTGTTGCAGGAATCAGGGGAAAAGACATGAAAAGAGCAGTGGAGGGAGTAAATTCAAATATGATATGCTTGATACATTATAAGAACCTTTGCAAATGCTACAATGTAGCCCCACCCAGTGAAACAATAAAAAATAAAAGTAATTAAATAAAAATAAAGTTGTTAAAAGATTGTAAAAAAAAGAAAACCCTCAGTGAACTTTCTGATTGAATAGCCATTCTTACTTAAGATGGAAGAGCACTCAGTAAGAAGTCAGTGGTTGTCTTATGTGGGACTGTTAATTTGTCCATACAGAATGTCTTTTATTGGATCATATGACTGGCCTTCTGTCATTGGTGGAACTGTGAGTTGTACTGTGATTTGTACGAATTCTATTCTTTTTTTTTCATGCCACATGTGTAGAAACTTACCTCTTGCCTGTTATGATCACTTACCAAACCAGTCAGCAGACACCTTCCTTGGCTGCCCCTCCCAACATTGGAGCATTAGCCCCAATAAAGTTTTTCAAAAATGATTCTACAGGGTGGACTTTTGTTTGCCTGCTTGTGGTTTTGTCATGAGTGAGCTGAGCTCATAACATATAGGGGGAGCAACAGAGTGGCAGCAAATTTGGTAGCAGCTGTTACTTTGGCAGAAGCAGCAGGGGTAGCAGAGTGGGGAATGAGGCAATAGTCAGAAGCAGTGGGACTTAAGGTAATAGAGAATAAAAAGGATGATAGAAGTGTACAGAAAATAAGAGAAGGCACAGATCCAAGACAGCAGGAGTCATAAGGAGTCAAGAGCATGTGTGAGAGACTGTTGGCCCATGTCACTAGAAGAGTTCCTGTGAATTATGGGGCCTTAATATCTGAAGGTTCCACAGTCAAGATTCAAGAGCTCTAACTGTAGTCTCTGCCAATTCCAAAAGTCCATACGCCAATGACTTAGGAGCTGTGACTCTAGTTGGTGCTGTCTGCTGCAGTCACTAGCTATTGCATAGAACAAAGGATTTTAATAGCTGCCACGTGATAGACTACTGTAAATCAAGCTCAGAGCAATAAGCCATGAGCTTACAGCTAAA